TTGAAATTATACTGTAAAAATCTGTGGTTATCATTTGCTGCTACAGTCGTGACTACTAATCATTATTCTTTTATTAATTGTATTTTGTGACAAACACCTGCTATAGAAGTAAAATTATCCATATGAATGACTGACAGCACAATGAGCATGTATCTAGATGTAATGCATATATATATATATATATATATATATACCACCTTAAAATCACTGTTTAATGATGAATGGAATTACTGATATCACTGAAAACCTACATTCATAACAAGCACCCTGAATTTAAAGTCAGTCTGCAATTATGTTTTATCCAAGATGCATAAATTAAGAAAAAAGTAAAGTATCTGTGACAAGGAATGCTAAAGATGTGATTTGGAAACCATTATGGCTACCTCAGCTTTGACCTTGACAATTAAGTTTATCTGAAAAGATAAATTCAAGAGAGTGGATCTCCAAGCAATGAGAGCTAAATTACAGTCCTGCTATTTGGAAACTAAATGTCAACCTTTGGGTCATAAATAGACAACATTACAGTAGAGTAACCCCATACGAGGACACAAGGAGGAGATTTACCGTAGTTAGCACTTTAATGCTACCGCCTTAATACTATCTTATGTAAGAAACAGGGTGTGTCTATATGTGCATGTGTGTCTGCCGGAAGGATTACCAAACAGGATAAAGGATAAATCAACAGGCTCACTGTTGCTTTATTAGAATTCTTTAATACTGCCGGCGACAAATTCCAGGTTTTCTGGCTCTGTTTGGACCGTGGACATGCTGTCAGTGTGCAGTTTTTAAGCATGTGTGCGGGGCTGTGTGTGAGTGCTAAATATAAAGCACAATGCAGCCAGTTGGCCGTGGTAGCAGAGTTTTAGCTTTTCCAGTCATCCCGGTAGCGTGCTTGACTACATGTGTTGTTCTGCTGCAGCTGCCTTCCATACGCAAGGAAATGTTTGCAGTTATGGAGCTCATTTCGAATGCCGACACAGCCACATAGTTGTTGCTGTAACAGGGACTGAAATCCAGTGAATAAAATTTTATGGTGAGAAAGCAAGAAAGAAAGAAAGAAAAAGAAAAAAGAAAGAAAGAAAGAACGACGGAGAAAGTAGGAGAGGAATAATAAATTAGCAATGCCAGCCAGTGTGTGAAATCTCCTTGTAGAATCGCTGGGATGTTATACAGCATGAGACATGCACACATATGCACGTACACAAAGCATATTGTTATCGATTCAGTATCATTTGTTTGCCCTGAATTTGCATTGACGGATAATGTAGCGCAGTGAGCGAGAGACACAACAGCCAAGCGGCAGAGAGAAAAAAAATAAATAGTAGGGAGAACACAGACATGAGATGGAGGCAGAGCGATCTGACGCAGCGCCAGGCAGTGAATGGGTGTTAAAAATGCACTAATGTGTATCGAGGTGGATAGCATTACCCTGTGATGATAAGCTAATTGCTAATCAGTGGATCATAGACTAACAATACCCATGTTCTGCGGCTTCAAGCCAGGACAATTCTTCAGTTAACTGAACAGAATACTGGAAATTTGTGGGGAAAAAACATTGCAAATAAATTAGTCTTGTGAAACTTTTGGAATTACCAACATGCTCTGGTAGTGATAATATAAGTGTTAATGAGCTGATATTGATAGCTTATTAATCAATCTTTATCACTGAAAAACTGGTCAGTAAGATGAGCGGTTTGAGGCACTGTAGCTCAAGTACATTTATAATAACAGATTTTCTCTGGGAGTGTTGGGAGGGAGTGTAGTGGTGCAGGGGGGTTAAATTCTTGATTTTAATTATGAGAAATCAAATTGGAAACTGGACAGGAGAAATTGTGTTTACCGCAGAAATAATCCACCAAGAATTCCTTCTAAATTTCAATTTTCAAGGCAAGAATTTTTTCATTAATAACCAATTTTGGGTAAAAAGGGGAGGAAAATAGAACAAGACATAACCATTGACACACACCCACACATGCACATATACACACTCTTCTCTACACTCTCTCTCTTTCGAGACTCTAGCTATGCAGCCTCTGAGTGAGGGGGCACCTTAGGGATTATAATCAGAATATTTTCATCTCAGTTAGAGATTAATAGAATAAATGGACAAGCAAGAGAGCACTAAGTACAAGTGTGTGTGTGCGTGTGCGTGTGTGTGTGTGAACGTGTAGTTTGAGAGTGGTGTTCACTCCCCTTCTGCATCACTGATCGACATTTTCTCTGTGCAGTGTTCTGTCACCAAACGCATACACACATATACACACTCTAAAACACACAGGTAATGACTGTGCTCTCCTCAGTTGGAGCTGTTTGATATGTAAATAACAGCGTTTTGCCACAAGTCTTTGTGTTTTTCAGAGCCGCACAGCAGTCGGAGCAGGTCTGTGACTCTGACCAGAGATTCAAATGCATGTTCTACATGTATGTCTTCTCTGTGAGCAGCTAACAAGCAGTACCAATATAATTTCAGATAAATACAGGAAAACATTCTGCGTATGCAAAGATATAGGTGAGTAACATGAAATAAAAATGATTTCCTTACGGTTTTAAGACTGCATAATTGAAATTATTATTCTCCTTTGCACGCTAATCTAAAATGATTTTGCTTATGTCTTATTCATGTTTATTTTAATAATTGAAGACGTTAAAGCTGTTAGAATTTAGATTTTAAGCTGATCAACAGAATTTTACTGGAAAATAAATCTGTCCTGTGAAAAAATGTTGCTTATTTTTTTCTAAAGCTGCAATTCATTTTGTTACACAAGCCTTATTTGGGGAATAAGCATTCCAAAATGTAAAGAAACCCTCTGAGACTAAGCACAGTGCCAAGCCAGCATTTTCAAATAAGAAACACGCATGCATTACATGTCTTATTCCTATTTTTTTATGACACCAGGAATGCTTTTGCATGGCTACAATTTTGGATTTTTTTCCCCCCGTCTTCTGTCAGTTAAGGGTCAATTAAGATGAAAGCTAGAGACTGGTTGCGGGCGGGGGAGTTGTGAATGAGGAAATGCTGGCTTTAATTATCAGCTATCAGAATGGATGTGTTGCATGAATTCAGCATGTGAGGTGGTGTGTGTGCATCCAGAGAAAAGCTCCACAAAAAAGAAAAAGTAAAGGGGTAAATTAGACTATTTATATCGATAGGTTTTACACTTCTCCCAGAAAACAAAAATCCAAACAGAAAATCTACAATAATGCTTGATTAGCTTATTGTTCAGCTTGATGTCAACATCGGACAAGATATATAATGCTGCTGTCCTGTTGTTCTCTTCTGTCTGAGTGTACAGCTGTTTCAACCAAGACGTTCCCACACACAACGCTATTGAAGCAACCAGACACCAGTATTATGATGTAAATCGCTCTAATAACCCAGTTTAGCTGGTGAGTGTCTGCATGAGTGTGTGGGTGTGTGTGTTGAAACATACAGACACTACAGAGACACAGACTAAGAAAAGAAGTGCATCTACGCTCATGTTTCTGATGCTGTAGAGACAAAGGTCAGAGGTCCATCACATCTTTAATTGACAATCATTTTTCACAAATCCTCCTCCTGTTACTGTACATGTTGATAATGGGAAATTGGGGAATGAAATAAACTCCACAAGTGGTATATTAAGAAGAATAGTGTGCTCATTTCCCCAAACGCGTAGAAAACAAAGGGAAGCATTTAGAATTTCTGACCTGTTTTCAGATAAGGTGTGTTTAATCTCTCTCCCTTTTCCTTTCCTTACTGACTTAGTAAAGCCAGCCCGCCTCAATAATAAACTACTGTTGATCAACATTTTCAAGGTAGAAAAAATTAGAGCTGCAACAAATAATTAGTGCTGCTGTAATAAAAAAATAATTACTTTTATCCTAGAGCAAAACTGCATACATCTCATTTGATTTTTGCACTAGGGAAAATAGTGGAAAGGAAAGGGAGGAGTAAAAAGTGGGGTAAAACTGGGGCTACCTACGAGAATCTGGTGAACTAAGAGAAGGAAAGAATAAAGGCAACGGAGGGCTAGAACGCTTTTAGTCGGCTTTAGATGTGGCAGGGGAAGAGCGAGAGCAGGAGACACTTGCTAAGACGACATGAAAAATGCACATGTTAAGCAAGAACACACTCACTTCAATAAAAAAACGTAACATATTCTGAACTGAGAGTCCCATACAAACATACCGTACTTTTCACCCCAAAATGTCCCATCTAGACAGAAGCACGCACACAGACATACACACTGACCAGTGGTACCACAAAGTCAAGTGCACCCCGCTTGTCAGGGGGATTTATTCCAAATGGACAAACTGGGCACACTGGGGATGCACAGTCGGTTCTGAATTCAACAAATCAACACAGGGGCGATCATTTAGTCCTCATCTGATCAAAAGATAACGCACTTATATGCAAACATGCACATTCCCCTCCACTAAATAGTCTGAAAAGCACACGTTTAAAAAGGCTGTGTGCATCTGTATCTTTTGGTTTCCATTCAAACCTGGGATGTTCCTTTGTCTGCAGATTATGTGAGAAACCCTCAAACCTCTAACAGGTCTTATCCAACCAGATTTCTTGCCTTAATCAAGACTGGCATTTGCTTGTAAGGAAAGTCGCAGCCCCCCTTTCCATTTAGAGGTTTAGTGGAGTGCAATGATGCAGACTACGTTGGCTTGTAGTACCATAACAAAGACACAATTCCTCAATGATATGAAAACGAGTTCTGATCTTTCAGAAAAGCACACAAAAGAGTATATTCCAAAATGTAAAGCTGCCTATAAATTTTGGAAGATTATTATTCAATTAGTCATCCTTTTATTAAAATTGTTGAAATTAAGGGTTGAACAGTTGTGGTTTGACATTACTCTAAATCTACAGCCATATTCACAGACAGATCAGTCCGTAAATGAATTATAGAGAGGCAATCTATGCTGCAGTGAAGATGCCAGCTCTTTGTTTCATCTCAGATCTGCTATAATCTTATCAGGACAAAAGTGATGCATATTGGTTTGTTTACCTTGGAGAGGCTCCTGTTTGGGGCAAATCCCTCGAGGCGTTGAGAACCGGTCATCGTCTTCTGCCAGTGTAGCTTGGACGCCCACTTCAACAGGCCTTCGGCTGCGCAGGGAGCCCAGAGCGGGCGATGGGGTGAGGGCCAAACCGGGTGAGGGAGAGGGGGGCTTGTCCAACCCCCTGCCCACAGCGAGACAGGGTGGTCCGTGGCACCGCTTCCTTTTGTGCTCGATGAAGAGCAAGATGTCCGCCAGGGGAAAGGTGGCCTGGCACTGTCCGCATGTAAGGAGGTCCTGCTCAATAGAGGGGTGAGCGTCGTGACCCAGTCGAGCCAGTCGACCCACGGCGGAGCCTGGGTGGTGCCCATTGACGGTGCCGTTCTCTTCCAAACGCTCAGAGCAGCGCTCTGACAGCTCCGACGACGAAACAATGGCCGTGGAAAGGGGCTCTGCTGCTGGGGAGGCAGACAGGGGGACAAGCAGGTAGGCATATGGAAAGGAAGAGAGGGGTGGGAGGAAAGGAGAAAAAGGGAGCAAAAAAAAGAGATTTGAAGGTAAAGCTGCAAAAAAGCAACATTTCTATTTTGCTTTTCCCTCTCTGTAATTCCAACCCATTGATTCAACTATTATGACAGGGAACCAAACCTTGATCCTGGTCTCAAAGTGAGGATCCGATTCAGAGAACAGAACTAAATAAATGCCCGGCATGTGGAATGCACAATAAGGGGCTGAGTAAATGTGCCTTGTAATGATAAAAAGAAATACATGCAATGCAGGAAAAATGATTACAATGAAAGATGATCCGGATCACACATCATAAGAATAAATACTAGGAAATAATATCCAAACTAACAACTAAGCTTCAATCAGATTGCTTAAAGATAACAATTTAACGTCCAATGACAGAGAAAGCTTTAGAAATTATGTTTAAACACAGCAATGAAAAACCTAAATATGTGCATGAGTTTTTCTTGAATGTCCTTGTTTGTACAGGGTCGGACTCTGTAATCAGCACAGGGGAAAGCTGTCACAAACACGTCCAACACATAGGCCATGGGAGAGACAGGCGGAACCGAGAGAGAGAGGATCTATGTGAAGGAGGACTCTGCCGTCGGCCTTGATTACATGTGCCTGACTTTTAGTTCTCAGTCACCAGTCTCTTGTACGGCATAAAATTGCCACAAAGGTTAAATGTTCAAAATGCTCCTAATCCCTTCCGAGGCTGCATTATGTTCTTAATTCTATTTTTCCGGAAAGGGTTCTTTTGCGGACTCCGTTAAAAGAAAAGAGGAATTGTTGGCTGAATTATGGGAAACAGTAGGAAATAATTTACTGTCCCTCTTTTAAAGAAAATCTTCCAGTCCAAGGTGAAGAGTCTGACTCTGCGCTAACCACCTAATGTGTGGTGACCTTCTTTACTCATCCACCAATTTCACATTTTAATGAACTTAAGACCACTGAGAATCAAAAAATAGATTTTAATTTTCACTGTCTGGGTGATTGGAACAGATTTTGGCTGATAACAGAGGTGGGATAGAGCTCCTGTGCATGCATGTGTAACTGTGCGCGCGTGTGTGTGTGTGACAAAGGAAGAGAGAGAAAGAACGGTGTGGGCGTGAATGTGGACTACATCCCCTCAAGGAAATTTCAATGCCGCAATCCTATGCGACATCTGTGCACAAACTGGGACATGAAGATAACATAGTGGATTCCCTTCGTATGCCAATTCCACGACTGCTGCCCAGCATAATCCTAAAACACTTGCACCATTCGCCCAATCGTGCTCTTTCAAACTTCCCCCTTCTTTGATTAACTTACATTATGATAAATTGCAAGTTCCCATGGAATGGCATCAAATTGTACAAGGTAAAACAAAAATAAAATAGAATAAAACGACTAAAAGGAGACATAAGCTCCTCACATCAGAAGTTTAACTCATATCTGGGCACAAGAAAAAAAGGATTTTGTTGGCTTTATTGGAGGATGAAGACAATAGCTGATCATTTCAGGCATTGTAACATTCATAAACACTTTCTAAAAGAGAGAAACATAATACACAATGTACTAATATCCATAATAGTAATAGTGTGTAAAGTATGTCAAGGTATATTTTAGGCCACTATATCTTGAAAATCTCTGACAGAAAATAGGCTGTCTCTCTGCCCCCAAAAACACCATCTATTCTTTTAGGCAAAATAAATTTTACACTGAGTTGTTTTCAACTGTAGAGGAAGAAATGCCCAGCTGTGAATTTCAAATACTTTGTCTTATAGTGCCATTAAAAAAAAAATGCACTGGAATTTCCACCTGTAAATATAGAGTTGTAAGAAAAGCAGGAAATGAAAATGCAGGTGCATTAAAAAACAAGAAGTGATCAGCAGTGGGGTTTACTTTATAGGTCGAAATATGAGCACTACACCACACTATGTGACTGTCTGAAAAAAAATATGCACCTGTGTGTGTGGTGTAAGTTTCGAGGGCAGAGGGCTCAAGTGATCAGAGTACTAGATTCCTAAGCTTTTTTATATGTAAAATCTGATGGGGGAAGAAAATGAGGCCCAAAGATGTAAAATGGGTTTTGGGTTAGAAGAAGAATGGCAGATGGGGTTGGCTCCCTCCCTCACTGTCTGTGTTTCCCCCTTTATGCTTCCCTATGTCTAGTGGAGTCTCTCTTTATTCTAAAGAGATCCCCAAATAGTAGATCGCGAAGATAGGGGTGATGGAGAAACTCATCAGGTTAAACTTTAGGACCGGATTTTCTGATCGCGCTCTGCCTCCTAGCGACAAAAGAAAGCCACGCTGACTGCACTGTCCCCCCAAAAACACGCACACACACACACACACACACTGTCGGTCTCTCTCGACAGTCAGTCAACATACTGAAACATAATTAAGCTCCGATGCGTAAAGGTGCGAAATGATCTTCTTGCAGGTTTGTGGCCGCTCGTGAAGCCACTGTTAGGACAGCACATGGTCCGGTGACAAACGCCACTTTAAAGATTGCCCTGCAGTTTCAAAACACTCGCAGTTAGTCTTTTGCCATGTGTGAGATTTTTGGAGAGCAAATATCTTTTTTCAGATTACACTAATACTTGATGATGAATCTTTGTCTGTGCTATACATAAAGTTAGATTCTGTTAATAAACTCGACATGTTTGGAATCCTTTCTCACTGGATCTGCATACATAACTCACACTAACGTCTTTGCTGTACCTGAAGCTCTAAAGTCGTAAATACGTTTGGCACCTTTTCGTGGGTGTTTGATTTGTGGGATTACTTTGTGAAATTATTTTCAAAAGATCAGAACTGATCTGTTGTCTTTTCAGAGTGTATCAGTTGTTTTGAACTGATTAAATGTCTGTTTCAGGGATGGGGTCTGTTGTCTGACACCTTTTACACTGTTTCACGCCAGTAGTTTTCTATGAAAATTTTACAAAGTATGTCAGAAAAGCTCGACCTGTGTTACTGCTTGGCTGCTGAGAGACGGAGGCAACCAGAAACAGACAAGACACCAGATTAGAAAATTCCACATTAAAGTTTGTTTGCTTTGTTTTTATCTGAAAAGGGGGAATATAATGGTGCATTGTGATAAAAGAGAGCTCTGCAGAAAGCAATTTATTCCGGTGGTGATTTTTTTCAACTAACCTCCGCTGAGACGCGAGCCACCACCGGGAGCCCTGCGCGCTTACGCTGACCGGAGCCACCGTCGGGGCACCGCATCCACAGCGTGGACCTTCAGCAGCCAGTCAGTGGACACTCACGCTGTGTAGCCCCCAAAACTTGTACCGGGTGTACACTCAGACAAGAAACTTTTTTTTCTCTCTCTCTTTCATGTTTTGCGGGATTTCCGAGCGGCTTTTACGCAGAGGTGTGATACTTTATCAAACAAGCTGTTAAAGTCCGGTTGACCGCTGGTCCTGGCGGTGCGTCCAGTGACCACCAGCCCTTGCCCTGCTGCCTTTACCCCCCTTTTGCTGAAGGAACTGAAAGGGAACCACAAATGACATTCTCTCTTTCTTTCTTTGAGCTTTACTTACGCGAAAAATCCCGCTTGCTTAAGTGCTGGGGTTTGCCCTGCTTGCGGCGAGACATGGTGGCAGTCAGCGGCTGCGTTCAGCGCGGATTACATCGGGGAGATTCGGGGTTAAAGAGGAGACTCCGGAGGGGCAGAAATATCTTCATCCAACGCCTCTGACATCCACGAGGGGAGAAAAAAAATAAATGAAATAAATTAGAAATAATATAAAGATCGCGCGGAGGCAGAGATGGATCGCGGGCTCGCCTTCATGGCTTTTTTGAGAAAGGAGAGCAGAGGAAAAAAAGAGAGTGAGAGAGAGGTGGATGGAGAGAGAGTAGGGGAGAGAGATGGAAAAAAATGGCAAAAGCCCCCCCCCCCCCCCCCCCCCCCCCCCCCCCCCCCCCCCCC